TCTGTGGTTTTGGTCAATCTGGCTATAATGTGTCTTGGAGAAGATCTTCTTGGGTTGATTCTATTTGGGGTCCTCTGTATTTCTTGGGACTGAATCTTTGAGAGCCTCTCTAGGTTTGGAAAGTTTTCTTGCAGGATCTCATGGAATAGATTATCAATGCCCTTATGAGTCTCTTCGCCTTTTGGGATGCCTATTATCCAGATGTTTGGATGTCTGATGGTATCTAGTATATCTCGTATATTAGTTTCAAATTTTTGTGCCATTTTCTCAGTCTTCAAGGTGGATTTTTCCAGGCTAGCAATTTTCTCTTCTACGTCTGAGATTCTATTTTCTGTATGATCGAGTGTGCTTTTAATACTTTCAAGGGAGATTTTGACTTCCTGTATTATAGCCTTCATCTCTAACAGTCCCATCTGATTCTTTTGTAAAGTGTGAAATTCCTCTTTTCGACCTTGCATGAATTTCCTCACCTCCTGGAACTCGATAACTTCTTTCTTCTTCCTCTTCAGCAGTTCATTCTCTCTCTTCTCTTCCATGTCTGTTAGCTTTGCCATTATGAATGTTCTGAATTCTTTATCAGACATTTCCACGATTTCCAATGAACTATGTGTGGATGAAGAGGAATTATCCTTTTCCCTTGGAAGAGAGGTATTTTCCTGTTTTCCCATATTTCTTGTGGTCCTGCAGCGATTTCTAGTCATCTGGTTGATGGTCGGTTTCTTCCCAAACTTGGAAGTTCAATCACGCGAGTTTTGTGTGCTGGAAGCCAAATTATCAGTGGGAGATCTTCAATTCTGTTTTCCTGGCTAGTTCACAGGAGCCATGAAGCTGTGTATCTTATCATTAATTATATTTAGTATAAACTCATTAGTAATGCCTTAAGCTTCATAATACCACAATAGAGCATAAACTTAATTTTCCAAACTTTTCACTTCTTAGTCATATTCTATGCTCTAGTTGAAACAATTTATTGTTGCTCACTAGCTCCATCTACATCTTAGGTAACACTGATCACTTTGTCTGAAATACAACTTTCTACAGTCTCAGTTCTTACTCTTTTGTAAATATCACCCTGTTTCATTGTCGACTTCAAATGGTATATTATCTATGAAGTAATAATATGTAATTGTCTTTTTTTGAATTCAATGTTATCTCAGGCTGAAAAACACTTCACTGTGCTTCACCACAGTAGATTATCAATGTTTTTACCAAATTAAATTGACTTGTATACAAAGAGAAGTAAAAAATAAATAAAGCTACCTCATTTGTCAATAAAGATTTATAATAGTCTCTATTAGAAGGGTTTGGTACGTGGAAAAAAGTAACACAGAATGTCTATTTCATGTCAAATATTAAGAATGATGATACTGCTATTAAGAAAATACTATTGGGTCATAGGGAAAGTCATGATGCATTTTTGCATGGAAAAACAGAGACAAATACGTTATGACTTTCCCAATGACCTAATACTGTCAGGCACTGTTCTCAGCACTTTGCACACAATCCCTCATTTAATCTTTAAAAGAACTCTTAACTTGGATATAATTATCCTCATTAGAGATGAGAAAAACCACATGACAAGGAGTTTGGATAACTTGTCCAATTACATGATTAGAAGTAAACAGAGGTCTAAGACAGTTTTACTATAGAAATTGAACTCTAAAAGAGATGAAAGAAATATTAATTTATGTACTTTATATGCCCGAATTAAGTACTTAACAAGTTACAAAGCAGGTATCATAGGAGTAATTCCCCAAAAATGCCTTTTAAATAATTTGTTCATCATATGTTACAAGGCAAATATTTTATAAAAGTAGGTAACTGGATACTGAATCACAAATCAAGCAGACTATAAATCCCTTCAGAATAACATCCATAATATATTCATTTTCATACACTGAGATCTGACCTAATAATTTGGCATACTTGATTTGTGATTAATGGAGGATCATATGAATTAAATTCAAGGCCAAATAATTAAAAAAATTTTTTTCACTCTCTTTATATTGTTTTGATTGCCAAAACACAATGTTTTTTTTTTTTTTTTTTTTTTGAGAGGTTTTTGCTTTAGGGCATGTGCGCTCGTCAGAAAAAAAGAGACAGAGAGATAGAAAGCGAGAAATCACCCCAAAGGGGGGATGGCCATGCCACAATTCCTTCTCCTCCATTCTCCTCTTGGGATCTTGGGCATGCACACACACGCACCTGGCATGAGTTTAAGTCACTGGGTCCGGGACTCAAACCGTGGTCAGCTACATGGGAGTTCAGCAACATAACAATTAAGCTAACTGCTGGTCCGCCGTCCCCCCCAACACAATTTTTAAAAGTGTTGCTCAAGGGACCAGCAGATGGCATAATGATTATGTGGCTGGACTCCCACATGTCTGACTATGGTTCAAGTCCTGGTCCCAGAGGCTTGAAGCATGCTGGGTGTATATGCATGCAACCTCAAAATCCTGAGAGGAGAATGGAGGAGAAGGGATTATGGCATGGTCATTTCCCCTGGGGGTTATTTCGCACTTTCTGTCTGTCTCTCTCTATCAAGTACACATGCCTTACAGAAAAAAAAAAAAAAAAAAAAAAAAAAAACTCTTAAAAAAAAAACCAAAAACGTGTTGCTCAATAAGATGTCTTCCAAAATGTATAAAAACATTCCTGTATAGTATTTAAATATATAGAGAAAGTTTTGTGCAAGGAATGAAACTGTAATACTCAAAAGAGCACAATGTAAAAAGATAAATAAGAATTTGCTTTGTGGTTAAGAAAGGCAATAGTGGTGCCAATAGAGGAAAAAAAGCAGGTGGACAGGCACTAGGCATAAAAGAGCTTGTTTAGGGAACTGCAAGCACTTCAGTATGGCTGTTGTAATACACTATACATGCTGGGGGGTAAGTTAGCATTAGGTTGAGGGTGCCTATCCTTGCTATAGATAAGCATGTTGCTAATAGTTAAATACCCTTTTTTTACGTAATGACAGAAAGTTTCCACAAATTAATACACTCCTAAGCATTATTTTAAAGTATGGCAGAATACTGACCTTAGGTGATATTTGCTTTTGAAAAATGCTAAAGATAATTTTTTTCTTCTTAATTTCCTGGTAGTACTTATATACTTTCATTTTGGTTCAATATGGGTAAATGAAGTCAAAGGGTTAAAAATTCCCATTCTATTTCATTCCACAGTACCCTGGAGATCCTAGAACAAGTCATTTTTCATTTATTCTGCTTATTTTTATTATTCAGTTCCCAATCAAAGAACATACACAGAATGCTTTTTGTTCAGAAGGTTTTCAACAAAGACCTCAGTTTTCCAATGATGTTGGAAATTCCAAGCAATACTGTCATTAATTTTTAAGAAACATACCTAAGAGTGCAGTGAGTTTGGGAAGCAGTCCAACTTGTACCATCTTATTCCTCAGTCCTGTGTCAAATGACAGGTTTAATAAAAGTCGAAGGGTGATATTCAGCAGATCTTCATGCTCACAAGGTATCATTTTTACCAGCTTTTCAATAATATCCATTTCCACCTATGTAAAATAATAGAATTGTAGTGAGGTTCAGTTGCAAACCAAGACAAAAGGCTGCAAATAATTATTTTTGTTTCTACCCTAATTTAAATCTATTTTATAAGTAATTATGTGTTAATCTTATACTCTTTTTCGGTCTATAATCATTCTTGTAATCAAATTTTTGAGGAGAAAATATATGCTCCCATAATATCCCCTCTTTCTCTCATTTTACTCTAGCAACTGGAAGACAAATCACATTTAGTCCTTGAAAACACTCTACATTATCAAATATCACCTAAGTACTGGGCCCTGTACCAAACCAACAAAATCTCATCTGCTGTGAATGACTCCTCAGTCTATAAGAGAATAGAAGGAACAAATTATAAATACATAACGTGATAAAAATTGAGAGTCAACCCCCAGAGCAGTGGTTAGGCCTTGTGCATAAGCTAGCTGGATTTCACAGGACCAACAGTGGCCCTGGGGATTTATAAAAACATTCTAGGCATGTGTGCTCAAAATCCTGATGCAATGGACAAATGGAGGGAAAAAACTGTGGTGAGACCATTCTTTATTCGGAGGTGTTTTCTCTCTCCCTTTCTGGTGAAAACATGTGCCCTCTGGCAGGCAGGCAGGCCTAGAAAGGAGTGAAAATGGGGGTCGGGGAGAGAAAGAAAGAAAAAGGAGAGAGAAAGAAGATGAAAGAAAACCCAAAAAACATTTTTTGAAGGCAAAAAGGGTTCTGCAAGCAACATGAAATGAGCTAATAATCTAACTAGAAGAACAGAAATTATTTCAACTTGGAAACAATATCTTACAAAATAAATATTTATTCCCTGCTTAAGAAGGTTGATGGCAATCTGATTTAAGGAATGAAACAATGATGACATTTAGGAAAAAAAAAGACCTTGTTTAGGGAATTATAAGTGCCTGGGTATAATCATAGTATAAAATATATGTCAAGAATTGGCAATAGCCTGTAAAGATAGATCTTAAACTGATCATAAATTTTTTTTTGTTGTTGTTAGAGATTTCTCACTGTAGGGCGCGTGCGCTCGCCAGACAAACAGAGAGAGACATAGAGACAGAAAGCGAGAAATCACCCCCCAGGGGGGATGGTCACGCCGCAATCCTTTCCCCTCCATTCTCCTCTCGGGATCTTGGGCACGCACGCACACATGCCCGGCGTGAGTTTTAAGCCACCGGGTCCGGGACACGAACCGCGGTCGGCTACGTGGGAGTCCAGCGACATAGCCATTACGCTAACTGCTGGTTCCCTGATCATAAAAGTTTTTAATGGGGTCAGCCAGTGGCACGGTGGTAATGGTGGCTGGATCCCACATGGCTGACTGCAGTTCATGTCCTAGACCTGGCAGCTTGAGAAATATACCAGGCACATGTGCATGCATGCTCAAAATTCCAAAAGGAGAAAGGATTGTGGTATGACTATCCCCCGTGGGAGGTACTTTCTCACTTTCTCTCCCTCTCCTCCATCTCCTTCCTCAAGTGCACATATCCTTTGGTAAAATAACAATTAAAAATTAAAAAAGGCTTTTTATGCTCTGCTAAGTTGTTTAACATTACTCTATATTTAATTATTTCAACTACAGGGGGTGATGTGCTCAGACTAGTTCCTATGGGAACACTCCCAAAGTCCAAATTCCATGAAACAAGCCAAAGACCAACCTTGTAAGAAGTTCTACTGAAGAAAAGCAACCCCATTCTCCCTTTCTGCACAGTCAACAAGAAAGATATAAGTATCATCAACTAAAACCACTAAATGAAAAACAGGTCTGGGACAATAAATGCAAAAATAATTTTATTTTTTGTCATGTTTGAGATGCCATTCAGTGTGTATTTTGAAATCTTATAAAACTTAGGAGAGAAGCTAGGCTACAAGGAATAGTTAAAACATTATGAAAGGGATCAATAAATCATTGCTAGTGAACTAATCTGTCCCCTTATCTGCCTTCATACAATTCATAAGCTATGGACAGATTTTTGGCTTTTACATATTTAAATGGCTGAAGAGAAATCAAAAAATAACATTTTGTGACACATAAAATCATTTGAAAGTCACAGCCAGGCCAACAGTGCAGTGGTTGAGCGCTGTAGATTGGTAGTTGGATCTCACATGGCTGACTTTGGTTCAAATCCCAGTCTAGAGGCTTGAAAAACACACTAGCTATATGTGTGTGCATGCCCAAAATCCTGATGGGAAAGAGAAATGGAGAACAGATTACAATATGACCATGCCCCAACCGGGTGCTTTCTCTCTATCTCATGCTAGTGAGCACATGTGTCCTCTGGCAATAATACACACACACACAGAGTTCCCATAAATAAAGTTTTATTGGGACAAAGGCAAGCTCATTTGTTTACAGACTGTCTCTGGCTGTTTTCATACCAGAACAGTCCCATGAAAAAGTTTGCTGACCCTGCCCTGAAAGATTATGACACTGTATTGAAAGAACTTATTTTAGAGTAAGAAGTCACAGATGACAGAACTTAATTGGTAATGGAAGCCCTACATTCAGATTTTTTAAAGTGGCAACTAGAAAAATGTGGTCATAAAAATAGCTTATGTCCTTTAGTTACAGAGCAATGGCTAAGGAGCATAGAAATTCCATATACGTTCATTCTTTTTGGATCATTCCCACGGGGTTTATGAATAATCTCATTCTGTTTCCTTGTTGAAAATCTAAAACATTTATTTTATTTATACTGTCCTTTCATATCTTTATTACAATATCTCACTGACCTAATTAATAATTGAGCATTTAAATGAACCCTTGATCTGGGTTTTTCTTTTCTCTCCATCCAAAGGAACAAGTCTAAAATTTTAAAAAATTGCTAAATTAACAAACCAACACATGATATTTTCTTTAGACATCTATCTATACCCTACAGCTATACTCTATAGCTCTTCATTATATAGTTCTATCTCCAAAGACTTCCAGAAATCAAACATGAAACTAAAAGCTGTTCTTTGAAAATAAAATTGATAAACCATTTACCTAAAAAAAGAGAGAATAAACAATATTAAAAATGAAATAGGAAAAATTGCTTCAAATCTTCAGACATTAAAGAGATAAGAAGAAAATAATGCCAAAAACTTACTGTCCACACATTTAATAATATAGATGAAATGGATAAATCCCTCAAAAGACACAAACTACAAAGCTATTACTCAAGGAAGTAACCTAAATAGTCCTGTACCTATTAAAGAAATTCTTACAAGGAAAATTCCAAGCCCAGATGACTTTTTGCTTTAGTAAATTCTACTAGACATTTAAGTAGAAATAAAACCATTCTAGGGGCCAGCAGATGGTGTGGTAGTTAAGGGTGCTGGACTTCCACATGGCTGACGATGGTTGAGTCCCAAACCTGGTGGCTTGCTTTCTCACTTTCTCTCTCACTGTCTCTCTCTATAGAAAAATTAAAAAATAATGATAAATAAAATTGATTAAAATAGTTTTACACAAACCCTTCCAAAAAAACTGAAGAGGGAATGCTCCCTAACTCATTCTATGAAGACACAGTTACTCTAATAATATAACCAGACCAAGACATTAAAAGAACACTACAGAAAAATAATGCCTCATAAAACAGAAATGAAAACCTCAACAATGATTAGCTAATCAAATCTAACAACATATACAGAAGAGCACCACATCACAGCCAATTCACAGTGTTTACACTATGAATGTCAGAACTGATTAAACATTTGAAAGTCAATCAATGTAAATCACTATACCAACGATCTAAAAAAGAGCAAGCTACATGATCTCAGTAACAGCTACATGATCATACAGAAAGGGCATTTGACAAAATCCAACATCTATTCATGATAAAAAAAAATCTTCACTAAACTAAAAATAGAATAGAATTTCCTTAAACTGACAAAGAGTATCTACTAAAAACCTACAACGATATAATTTTTAATAGGACATTGCTTTTCTCCTAAGATCAGGAATAAGGCAGAAATGTCTACTCACACCACTCCTTCTCATAGCAGTTGGCTTACTCAGTGCAATAACACAAGGGGGAAAAAAAAGAAAAGCATATGGATTAGTAAGAAAAAAATAGGGGACAGCAAGTGCTGATTAAGACACAGGACTCCCACATGGCCAACTGTGTTTTGAGTCCTTGACTCTAACAGCTTGCTTTCTCACTTTCTCTCTTTTTGGTGAGTGTGCATGACCTGTAGTAAATTTTTAAAAAAATAGTGGTAATAAATAAAATAAACGGATAATTTTTTAAGGGAGATTTTTGGTGTAGGGTGTGTACCTACTTGCTAGAGAGATAAAGAAATAGAAAGCAAGAAATCACCCCCTAGAATTGGCTACACCACAATCCCTCTTCCTCCATTTTCCTCTTGGGATCTTGAGCACACATGCATACATGCCTGGTACGAGTTTTAGGCGGCCAGGTCTGAGACTTGAACCACTAGTCAACTATGCAGGAGTCCAGCGATGTAACCATTATGCCACCTGCTGGTCCCTAAATGGATAATTCTTTTAAAAAGTGAAAAAAATACTGTCCTGCAGGTGGCATGGTGGTTAAGGGCGCTGTACTAGCACATGGCTGACTGCAGTTTGAGTCCCACGCCTGGCAGCTTGGTTTCTCACTTTCCCTTTCTGTAGCTCTGTTCCTCTCAAGTCGAATTAAAATAAATAAATAAAGTTAAATAATTCTTTAAAAATACTTTAAAAAAGAGAGAAAAAATAGAACTTTTTATTTGCAGATAACATAATTGTCTACTTAGAAAATCCCTAAGATTCTATAAATGAGCCATTACAACTAAAAAGCAAGTTTAGCAAGGCCTCAGGATATAAAGTTAATATATAAAATCAACTGTAGCTCTATCAGTCAATAACATGAAATGGCTAATTATTTAAACTACTATGTATAATGATAAAATACTTAGGTAAAGAAAATACATTCCGAATATGTATGCTAAAACCTACCAACAATTAAAGAAGTCAAGGAAGACCTAAATAAATGGAAATGTATACCATGTTCATAGATTGGAAAATCTAATATTGTTAATACATTGATTCCTGCCAATAGAGTCAATCAATCCAAATTGAAATTCTAGAAAATTTTAAATTTTAGAAAAAATTTTAAATAAAAAAAAAGACTACTTGATTTCAAATCATGGGAAGGTAAGATACATAGAACTGCCAGAATAATTCTGAAAAAGAATAACAACATTGGAGGCCTCACACTACCTGATTTCAAGATTTACTATAGAGTGGATGTGGTGGGGGAAGTATTGGTGAAAACACAGACGCAGAGATAAATGGAATAGAAGACTCCAGAAATAGAACCCACACATATATGGGCACCTGATATTCAACAAAGGTACAAAAGCAATGTCAATAAAGTGTAAAGGCAATTCAATGGAGAAATTAGTCTTTTCAACAAATAGTGCTAGAACGACTGGACATTCATATTCCAAAACCTGAATTTTGACCCATTCTTTGCATCATACACAACATTAAGTCAAAATGAGTGACTCATAGACTAAACCACTAAAACAAAACCCCTATAACAACTTTAAGAACATATAAGAAGAAATTTTTGTGAACTTGAGATAAAGATTTCTTTGAATGTAACACTAACATATAATCTATTAAAAATTTGTTCTATATGCTGAACTTCACCAAAGTTGAAAACTTTTGCTCTTCATAGAATGAAAAGACAAGCCACAGAAAAGGAGAAAATACTTGCAAAACATATAACCAATAAAAGACTTACACAGAAAAAAGTCTCACAAGTTAGTAATAAGAAAATAATCATCTGAGGCAACATATATCATCTCTGTTCCTCTTTTAAAATCATATTCTATTTATTCTTTTTTGTTTTTCACAAAATATAAGGATTTAATTAAAATTACTAATTGAAAGTTTTAAAGTAAATTTTAGTTTTCTTTAAAATATGTGTCTAAAAAGCAAGGTCAGTATTTGCATCAACAGTAAAATGAACACTTTCCTTAAATACATACTACAGCCTCACACATGGATCAGTCATTACTCCACTCTTCTTTTAAATACAATTGCCACAGGCTTCAGCTGTTATTAATTATATTTAGGTAATATTTTTCTCTTGAAAAAGCTACAGTATACATATACATGGTTGTTACAACACAATAAATAATCTGGAGAGCTTTTTATTAATCTGTATTTCCACTTCACGGAATGGAATATGAAATATGTGCAATCAGTCAATCAGCTGGTTAAACATTAGACTTGTATTTATTTAACACAGCCTTCTATTCATGACTCCTCTTTGGTTGACAAAATCCCAACCCTAAGAGCTAAATGTAATAATCATCTCAGTATGTGATGTCCTCACCAGTCTATTTCTATAAAATGGAATGTATAATTAGAATTTTTGTTAAATGGTCTACATAAAGTGACAGTTACCAACAATTTACCAACAAGTTGATTCAGCCTTTAAATATATCCTTCTCTTTCTTTCTGAAAGCCAACATTTAAAAGTTATTGTTAAGTTTGGTAAAATGTCTTTAAAAAAAAAATCTTAAACTTTTGACTAAGAGGCAAAGAAAAAAAAAATGAAGCTGAGGACCTAGAGATGTTTCCTTAAGCTAATTACTTAATGTCACTGATTCTCTGCTGCTTCATTAGCAAAAGCAGAAAGCTAGATAGATTAGAAGGTTCTGTCAAGTTCTAAAAATCCTCATTCTGTAAGATATCCTTAAATAAAATGCAACCCTTCTATAAAAGCTGAAATGCATACCACCTTTAGTAAAACCTGATGTCACTCATGACCTTAACTTTTCCGAACCTCAGTTTTCCTCCTCAATAAATAAGGCTGATGAGACAATTTATATCTTCCAACTATATGATCTTACCAGAAAATAATTATAAAAATATTCTTCAGATCATTTGGTAGAATAAACACGTAAGGAATACATTACTTAAATATCCATCTAATCAATGCATAGTAGACACATGCTGATAGCAAATCAATCTGATTTTGAGAACCTACTAGAAGTGAACTTAATCTAAACATATACTTCACCTTATAGTAAGGGGAAGCATTTATTTAGTCACATCTTATATACTCAGGAGTATATATATCTTCATTTTCACATAAGATCAATGAAAATAAAAAAAATGCTTGACTTAAACTGTGAAAATACATTCAATTTCAAAACAATATCTGGCATATAATGAACAGTATGAAAATATACTAATGATGAAAATGACAGATACTGAACATAGGGGTGTAAATAAGTAATTTGCTTACTACATTTTAGTAATGTATGACTTAATACATTCAAGAATCAGAATTCAAGGCACTTATTAAATTTGATAAATCAGTTGCAAGTTTTCAAAAAGCTTGCCAGGTCATTCAATAAAGCATAGGCAGTTAGCGTAATGGCTATGTTGCTGGACTCCCATGTAGTCGACTGCGGTTCACGTCCCGGACCCAGTGGCTTAAAACTCATGCCGGGTGCATGTGCATGCGTGCCCAAGATCCCAAGAGGAGAATGGAGGAGAAGGGACTGCGGCGTGACCATCCCCCCTGGGGGGTGATTTCTCGCTTTCTGTCTCTATGTCTCTCTCTATCTGTCTGGCGAGCGCATGCGCCCTATAGCAAAAAACCTCTCCCCCCCAAAAAAAAAAAAAAAAAAGCATGGGCTACTTTTTGTCCTTTGATTTAAAAAAAAAGAAAAGAACTATGCACTAGGACTATACATTAGGCTCTTTGAGGAAGCCACTTACACCAATAATAACATAATGACATACACTATTTTTTTTTTGAGAGAGATTTTTGCTATACGGCGCCTTGGCCTTGCCAGAAAGACAGAGAGAGACAGAGAGACAGAAAGCTAGAAATCACCCCCCTGTGGGGATGGCCATGCCGCAATCCCTTCTCCTCCATTCTCCTCACAGGATCTTGGGCACACATGCACACGCACCCGGCATGAGTTTAAGTCACTGGGTCCGGGACTCGAAACGCAGTCAACTACATGGGAGTACAGTGACATAGCCATTACGCCAACTGCAGGTCCCATGACTTAACGCTTTTAAAAATGGTCCTCAATGCACCATAACACTAGCGATTCAATTATTTCACTACTAGGAATCTACTCCAAGGAAATAATCAGTGATACGGAGAAACTTAATAAGCAAATATGTACTCTGAACTGTTATTTATAATAGCTATAATTATACATAATTATTGGGAACAGCAGTTAGCGTAATGGCTATGTCACTGGACTCTCGTGTAGTCGACTGTGGTTCGAGTCCTGGACCCGGTGGCTTAAACTCATGCTGGGCACGTGTGCGTGCATGCCCAAGATCCCAAGCGGAGAATAGAGAAGGGATTGTGGCGTGGCCATCCCCCCTAAGGGGTGATTTCTCACTTTCTGTCTCTCTGTCTCTCTCTTTCTGGTGAGCACATGCACCCTATAGCAAAAACTTCTCAAGAAAAAATATTATACATAACTTTCAATGTCTGAAAACAAGATATGGTTAATGTATATTCTACTTAATTTAAAAGTGAACTTATTAAAGACATGGAAAAGACAGAAAAGAATTTTTATTTTGTATTTAATATGTTTCTATATTATGAGTATTCTACACAGAAGGAAATAATATATATTCGACCTGTACTTCTCAAAGAACACTGTATCAATACAATAAAAGATGGTAACTAGGAATCCAATATAATAATCCAAACGAGAAATAAAGAGGATATAAAGGAAGGGGGCGTGAATTAATATAATGGCAATGGGAATAAAAAGAAGGGAGAACTTAAAAATATATTTAAGAAGCACAACAGGATGTGACTATAAACCAAAACAGAAAGTGACAAAAGAGATTAGGTTAAATTATAATCTATAAACCAATATTAATATGCAGAAGGCAAAACAGTTTATAGAAATCAATTAGGTCAGATGATCCTCAAGTATAATCTTCAATTTAAACTATGTTCTTTCTCTCTCTATTATACTTAATATGGCAAAAATCCATTCTATATTATTAGAAAAAATTCTTTATTCAGAAAGCTTCAATGATCTGGAATATTAACTATTATATATTTCTGAATTAAGCAATTTCAGTGAGTTATTGCTATTATAAAATCTTCATTCAGAATTATTTCAGTATGGGAATAAAGTGCTGCCGCCTTTTTTTTTTTTTAAGATTTTTGCTATAAGGTGTGTGCTCTTGTCAGAGAAACAGAGACAGACAGTGAAAGGGAAAGTGAGAATCATCTTCCTGGGGGATCACCACTCTACGATCCCTTCTCTTCCATTCTCTTCCTGGGATTTTGGGCACTCACATACATGCACCTGGCATGATTTTCAAGCTGCCAGGTCTGGAACTCAAACCACAATTAACCATGTGGGAGTATAACACCTTAACTACTATGCCACCTGCTGGCTCTATTGTTGCTTTTTTATTTTTTTTTTTAAGTTTATTTTTTATTTCTTTCTTTCATGAGAGAGGATGATGGAGAGACAGATATACTTGACAAGGTCTCGCCATGTAGCCTCCCAGGCAGCCAGGATCACGGGTACATGGGCAACCCCAGTGTGTTCTGGCCGACCCAGATGTCCCATGTGCTCCATCATCACACAGTGGTGACCTCTGCCCTTGCCACCATGACTGGGCCAACATGTTTATCAAAATATTCTAATTTGATAATGGTTAACACTGGCTGTTTTAAGAAGTAACTTTGTAAGTTACCATATCATTTTTATTCTCCATAAAAATGCTGAGTTTCTTCAAGAATGATACCACTAGAATAAGCAGCTCGAAATTGTCTCGGTCAAGAGCCTTCACCAACATGTGAACTATGTTCTTGTTCCTCATTTTCAGTTCTGTACGAGTATCCTCAGCAAGATTCAGAAGCAGGTAAAGAGCAACTAGAAAAGCAAAACAGATGAGCGTTAAATGACTGGCATAATGAATCAACAATTTAAAAAATCATATCTACTGACCAAGTTAAAAAATATAGTTCTAAAAAGGCAATACGTTATTTCTAATTTTTTTTCTAAGGTTTTCGCTATAAGGCATGTACACCCACTAAAGAGAAACAGAGAGAGGGAAAGTGAGAAATCAACCCCCAGGGGGTCTGGCCATTCCACAGTCTCTTCTTCTCCATTCTCCTCATGGGATTTTGGGCACTCATGCACATGTGCCCAGCATGATTTTCAAGCCACCAGTTACAGGACTATAACCATGGTCAGCCATGTGAGAGTCCAGTACCTTAACAACCACACCACTCTGTTTCAAAATTTTTAAGTAGTTAATTAAAAAACATTTATTGAGTGTTATCAATAGATCATATAAAACAAAATAATATACATAAAATATTGGGTCGTCAGAAAAGTCATGATGTATTTTTCTATGCAAAAATCTCTCATGACCTTTCTTATAACCTAAAAGTATCCTTATGATTCTAAGAAGGACATATTAACCAAAATAAGACAATGGTTCCTACCCTTTTGGAATATAAAAAGCTTAATGGTAATCAAATAGCAATTCAAGAGAGATAAGTCGACAATTAATGAAACAAGAGACAGGAAAAAATGATTACTATATATATAGGAAACAAAGTAAGATATTATAAAACCTCAATAACCAAGGGCTGCAATATTAAAAAGAGCAATAATACAGAATATATAGTATAGCTAGAGCTACATTTGGGGATACTAAAATATATTTTTCATATTTACACTGATTTTGTCACTATAAGAAAATACCATATGACATTCAGTAATACATTGTTACACTAGACAGAACTAAAGTTACTACTAGTTATAAGTAGTTTCTTTTTGATTCATGTAATAAGAATTTTAGGTTCTCAAAAGAAACTCATAATAAGTATTCCATTTTGACAGTGAAAATTGCATACTGTTTTCCATGTTGCCTTGCCAGGAAGCTTCAGAGTTAGACATAAAAGTCAGATTATGTAGGCCGTTATGGTCAACAATGTTTTTTGGTTTCTTATGGCCTTGATGTTACTCATTATTTTAGTATTTCATTTCATGTATTCTTTTAAACTAGCTCTAAACCTTTAGGAAAAGAAGAGATGTATCTGTATGTATATACACAGGTAAATATTTATTTAACAACTATCTGGGATAGAATGGCAAATCATTCTCATTAAAACATCTTCTGTATACCTGGAACTGTACTAGTTGACATATGGAAACTCATTTTAATTTCAAAACAACTTTATGAGGAAAAAAGTATTATAAAGATTTCACAGAGTGGGAATCCTAGATTCAGAGAATTTAAATAACTTGCCCTACCCACAAAACTGCAAAGTGGCAAAGCTAAAATAATGTCCAAGACAAACAGAACCCAAAGCTCACACATTTCCACTACTGCCTCATGCTGACTTTGCATGCTAGGCATTATTAAAGATTTTAAAGTTGTGTTGGAAAAGCATATTATAGACTTTTTCTTGCAGCTAAGATAGAAAAAGTGAGGGGCTAGCAGGTTGTGTAGTGGTTAAGGCAATGAACTCCACATAGCTGGCAGCAGTTTGAGGCCTGGACCTGGCAGCTTGAAAATCAAGGGGTGTGTGTGTGCATGCATGCCCAAAATTCCAGAAGGAGAATGGACTGCAGCATGGCCATCCTTGCAGAGGGTGATTTCTCACTTTTACTTTCCCTCTCACTGTCTCTCTCTGGCAAGTGCACATGCCCTATGGCAAGAACCTTAAAAAATAATAACAAAGATAAGAGGAATTGAATAGTGTATCCCAAAAATGTACATCCAACCTGGAATCTCAGAATATGACCTTATTTGGAAATAGAATCTTTGCAGAGGTAACTAGTCAAAATGAGACACTATAACAGACTCTGATACCAATCGTTATTGTCTTAACAAGAAAAGATGATGATCACAGAGAGAAATACAGTGGGAAGAGGCCCTGTGAAGATGAAAGTGCAGATTAATGAGCTACAAGCAGGTAGAACCTGACAGAATCCCTGGGATGAGGAGATAAAGCTAAGAGTTTAGGGACGACAAGGTGGCCAGAGTTCACAGATGAGAGTGCTGGACAGGAGACAAATACACAGGAAGAACTCTAGTGGTCTACAGAGGTCTCCCTTGAACACTGATCAGAATAACAACCAGAAAATTTATATTAGAAATATTAACTAAAGCATGTGAGAGAACAAAATGAGAGGATCAAAAGAAAAAGTACATGGTGCTCACATGAGACTATAAATGATGCCTGTTTCTACAAACAATATTGGAAACTTCATCATTCATGGCACAATGGGTAGAGTCCTCAGAGTCTTGCCTCAGTAGAGGAAAATAATTTAGACCAAATACTGCTCATGTCCAGACTAACAACCCAACCCCCCCCAACAAACCAAACTGTTTCTAACTAATTCAATTAAATTATGTCTCAAAACAAAGCTCAAAAATATTTAAGAGAATATTTTTTGGGGGGAAGTTTTTGCTATAGGGCACATGCACTCACCAGACAGAAAGAGACAGAAAGCGAGAAATCACCCCCCAGGGGAGATGGCCACGCCGCAATCCCTTCTCCTCTGTTCTCCTCTTGGGATCTTGGGCACACACACACATACGTGTGAGTTTTAAGCCACCGGGTCTGGGACACGAACCACAGTCGACTACATAGGAGTCCAGCGACATAGCCATTACGCTAACTGCTGGTCCCGAGAGGTTTTTGCTATAGGGTGCGAGCACTCACCAGAAAGAGATAGAAAGACAGAAAGTGAGAAATTAACCCCCAGGAGGGATGGCTATTCTGCAATCCTTTTTCCTCCATTTTCCTCTCGGGATCTTGGGCACGCGCCCAGCATGAGTTTAAGCCACCGGTTCTGGGACTTGAACTGCGGCTGACTACGTGGGAGTCCAGCGACACAGCCATTAGACCAACTGCTGGTACCAAGAGAAATTTTTTCTTTAAAGTTAATACCCAACACTAAATTTCACACTGCCTGGCAGCCAATCAAAGTTTATCAGTCATTCAAAGCAGCGGGAAAATGTAATCCAGAAGGAGAAAAAAAATAACCAACTAAAACTGTCCAGGAACTAACAGAGAAGTCAGAATTATCAAAGAGAATATTGAAAGTCAAGCTATATTCCAGATATTCTAAAAGCTAAGTAGAGACATAGGAGGTATGGAAAGTATTCAGACTTCTGGCAATAGAAACTATTAATACAATACTTCAGATTGCATATTAGATAGAATAAAAGCTGTTTAGAAGTGAGTAAAGATCAGTGAAACTAAAAACATAATTTTAAAATATTACCAAAATTGAAAAAAAAACAAATAGAAGAAAAATAAAACAGCAAAAATGTATGGTGTATCAGAGAAATATGGAACAACTTCAAGTGACCTAATACATATGTAATTGGCATCCCTGAGAACACCACCATAATTTCCAAATTAAAGAGAACTATTAACATAAACCCAGAGCTCCAATATGTTCACTGAAACACAAGTACAAGAAACAAAGAAAATTCCACTGAGGCACATTATAATCAAATTGCTCAAAAGAAATGATAAGGGGATGAAATTTTATTTATTTACTTTTTTTTTTTTTGAGGTTTTTGCACATGTGCTCACTGGAGAGAGACAGAGGAGAGGGAAAGTGAGAAAAAGTGGGACAGCCATATCACAACCCTTTCTCCTCCATTCTCCTCCCGGGGTTTTGGGCATGCAAGCACATGCACTTGGAGTGATTTTTCAGGTCACCAGGTCCAGGACTCGAGCTGCAGTCAGCCATGTAGGAGTCCAGTACCTTAATCACCATGCCATCTACTGGCCCCAATAAGAGATGATCTTAAAAGGAGCCAGAGGAAAAGAAATACTATATAAAGAGATAATGATGACAGCAGACGTCTCACCAAAAACACTGCAAGCAAGGCAGCAGTCAAGCAACATCTTTAGATTATGGAAATAAAATGTTGTCAACTGAGAATTCTAAATCCAATGAAAATAGCTTTTAAAAAATTTTCAGACAAAGAAAAGATAAAATAATTCATTGCTGGGGAAGCTGTTCTACAAGGAATACTAAAGGAAATCCATCAGGCAAAAAGAAAATGATACCAGATGGAAATAGGGTTCTACTCAAAAGAATGAGACCAATGAAATGTAACTATATAGATAAATACAAAAGATGATTTTCTTATCATTTAAATATCTTTAAAATAAAACTGACTAATTATACAACCATAATAATGCACTGTAGGGCTTATAGCATATATATAACTATATATACTAAAAAGAGTATAAAGACAGGGAGGGAAGAAATGGTTCCAACATTGATCAAGAAGTGGTACATCACTTGACAGCAAACTTGTGATAAGTTAAGATGTTTACTTGAAGGTAGACAACTTATCCTTAAAGATGCATAGTATGGGCCAGTCAGTGGTAGGGTGGTTAAAACACTGGATCCCACAGTACCATCTGCCTGGTTTGAATCCTAGACCCAGAAGCTTGAAAAAACACAACAGGCGCATGTGCATGCATGTCAGAAATCCCAAGAGGAGAATGGAAAAGGGATTACTGCATGGCTATCCTCCCTGGGGAGTGATTTTTCACTCTTTCTCTCTCTTACTCATTCTCCAGTGAGCACAACCCATCCTACCTGGCGAGTGTTTTCTTATTTTATCTCTCTTTTACTCTTTAGTGAGCATAGCACATTTTTTTCTAAAAAGATGCATAATATAAAGCTTAAGTCATTCAATAAAATAACAAAAAAAGTCACAGCTAATCCAACAATGGAGATAAAATGAAGTTTAAAGAATCCTCAATATACAAGAAGGCAAATAAGATGTGCTATTTATAGAAAAACATACTATAAAGGCATAAATATGCTAAAAGTAAAATAATGGACAAATATATATCTAACACTAGTCACAGAAAAGCTAG